AAGCCGGGCCTGGTCAGCCTTAAAGGGCCAGGCGTTCCCAGGCAGGACGGGGCGGGGCGAGAACCCCAGGAGGCCCCACCCCCGGGCTGTGATTTGCATGGACGGGGGCGTGGCTTTCCGAGGGGCCGCAAAGACCCCGGCGCGAAACGGAGTCCCGCACGCGCTGTGCGAGCCCCTGATTTTACGAGCGATCCAGGAGTCTTGTTCCTCCACTTGAGTCGTGTTTTTCTCTCTTTAGACTGCCAGGCGGCCTCCAGTATGGCTTGTAAAGCTTGAGACTTCCTTAGTGGTGCCCAATCTAAAATCTCGATTTTTGCCCACCTGCTGAGTGAGATAGCATTTCGTTGTGACTCGCGTCTCTCTAGCACCGGCATCTCTCTCCTTGTGTGCACCCCCTGCTCATACCTTTGGTTTATTTTTTTTTTTCCCTTGGGAGACAACATCATTAACTCAGAAATCCTAAATTCCCATTTAATTTCCCCCTTAAAGTTTGGGCTTTTAGTATCGTGTTTAAAGTCTCCTCCTACCCTACCGGGCCAGTGTGGCTCGATCGGTCGGGGTTTCGTCCGGTGCACCGAAGGTCACGGGTTCTTCCCCGTGGAGGCCCTTGCTTGCAGGGAGCGGCTGATCAGTTGTGTCTCTCTCACACCCGTGTTTCTCTCTCTCTCTCTCTCTCTCTCTCTCTCTCTCTCCTCGCCTCTCCTCTCCTCTCCCCTTTCCTCCCCCGCTAAAATAAATGAAAAATAAAAACTCCTCCTCCCACACCCCGGTGGCAGATTCTCTATTAGTTTTCCGGTTTTCCCTTCCGCATGTAGGTAGGTCTGTTCTTAGGCTTCCTTACTTATTTTTGAGCCAATTTTCCCATCACAAGCTGTTAACTCTTATTTCACCAAGGAAATGGAGGCCCCGTGAGAGGGAGCAACTTGTCTAGAGCCGCAGGGGTGTTGCTGTCTCCTTGGACAAATCTGCTCCACCCCTGCATGTGTCCACCGCCCCCCTACCTGCCACAACCCCGAGGCTGGGGCTGAGGGAAGCCAGCCAGGCGGCTCACCTGGACTAGGCAGGTGCGGCTCGGTGCAGGAGCCCTACGCGTGCCTCTGCTGCCATCTACAGGCCACCCGCGGGACCGCAGGTGCCGGGGCCCCTGTCCTACCATAGGTGTGTCTAAGCTGCTCTCAGGCTTCGGGATTAGGGACCAGCGACCGCC